TGCTAAGGCCCACTCCTACTCTAGGTGCCCACAGAAAGCTGAGCTTTTTGAAACCTGGCTGTGAGCCCATGCTCGTATGGCTCCTGCCCTGTCAGGGCTGCAGAGCCGAGGGGAGATTACCAGCATGGAGAGCTCCTTGAAGGCAGGTGAAGTGCAGTTGAAGAGATCTGGCTCCAGCCAGCCCTTCTCCTCATCACAGTGTCTGATGGCTGCACCTAAAACCGGGAGGAAGGGCACATCTGAAATTCAGCACAGGATACATGGTTCCCACACTGCCTCCCCCCAGCAGGGACCTGCTGCACCAGCTAACCCCAAAGAGCAACAACAGCAAGTGATGGGGAGGGCCTGTAACACCCCAGGGCCGTTCTCCTGCTTTGCACCAGTGCAACCCATTCCACCCTTGGTCTGCATCACCTTGGCAAGCTGCTGCCATCCCCTCCCTCCGGGAACTGGGTTCCTGTGTGTGCGCATCTGGGCTGCATCACACCAGGTGCCATCACACAGAATTGCAAAGAGGAATAAATGACTTGGCAGGGCTCAGGCTGGAGAAGCCCTTGGTTCCTGGTGGGGATGTGTCTGTCCCCTCAGGGCTCATCTGACCCCAAACTACTGAAGCCCATGCAGCTCTAGGCATCCCCTGGCTGACAGCCTGCAATGCCCGCTGAGGTCCTGCCTCTCTCAAAGTCACCCCAGAAGGACGACACCCCTGCTGTGGGGCTGGCAAACCCACCCCAGAGATGAGCCCCTGCAGCTGAATGGGATGGAGGAGTGGGATGGAGGAGGACCCATCCAGCAGTGTGGGTTCAGTACCCAGCGCAAGACCCCAGTCCCTGGCTGGGGCCCAAGTACTACTGCACAGCAACGGAGATACCAGCAATGAATGGGATCAGCTGTTAACACCCACCAAAAGCACTGCTGAAGCCAGCGTGGAGAGCAGTGTCCTGGGGCTGGGAGCATCACCACGCACCCTTTGAGCAAAAGGAACCCAGGAGACCCCAGTGTACCTGGCAGCACTGTGGACCAGGCCCTCCTGGGGAAGGCACCAGGGCACAGGAGCCCACCCAGGCGCCCGTGGCTGGGAGAGGGCAGCAGCGTGTCCAGGGCAGGGAGATGGAGCCTGGAGCAGACGCCAGTTGCTGCTCAGAAAAGCCCCAGTGACTAGCATGCCCCCTCCCACCATCTCTAGCTCCCAGCTGTCCTCCCCAACCACCTTTCCCCAAGCTGCAGAAGCACAGGGACCAGTGCCATTGCAGCTGGGAGCAGGGAGAACAAAGAAACCTCCACACTACTGGCCTTCCCCCGGCAGAGAACAGAGATCGGCTCAGCTGCAGATCTGGGCTGTATCTGACCTCCAGGTCCCTCTGCCTCCCCCTGCCAACCGGGCAGAGGGAACAGGACCTTGTGCTGAGCATGCCCATCAGTTCCTGCCCCCATCCTTCTGCCCTCTGTTCAAACAGCTCCCCCTTCCTCCACCCCACAGCCATTCCTCCATGGCCTCCCTGGCCTCACTACCCATTGCTCATCACCAGCTCCTTTCCCTCCCAGCCTAAGCAAGCAGGGACCAGCCCAGGAGAGCCAGCATCCATCCCAGACAGGGAGCAGAGCGCAGACCTGCCCAGAGCCAAAGCTGCAGGCTCAGGACAGTGGGTGGCGGGGGCTGCATGCGGCTGCAGCCAGGTTTGTGCTGATTAGTGTGCTGGGAGCAGGGAAGCGGCGTGTAGGAGTGGTGAGGCCAGGCAAAGCGTTGGGAAGACACTTGGCAGCTCCAGAAGCAGCAGGGAAAGTGCAGGGGTGTGCAGGGTGCCAGGCAGGAAGTAGCGAGGGAAAGCTGCATGGCACAGCCCTTACAGCACAGGGGGAAGGAGGCGGGAGCAACCTTACCTGCACCCCTCAAGCCTGAGCAAGGAGGGCGAGAGAATCAGGGAGAGAAGCGACAACAGTTAGGAGCCGAACCTGCCTCCTCCTGGGGAGAACAGCTGGAGAAGGACAGGGTTTGTGTTGTCCCCTGGAGCTCACGCTGCCCTACAGTCCCAGACACCCTGCTCGCACCTTTGCCGTCACCGAGAACAGCCTCCTCCATCTCGGGATGTGACTCCTACCAGAGACACCCACCTAACGGCACGCTGTGCCCTGCTCCCCTTGCAGCTCACACCGAGGATGGGCTGGCAGAGCTGCAGCAGGGTGCCGTGGGTGCCAAGCTGCTGTGCCAGGCCTGACCCCAGCCTCAAGCCCGCTGAAACCAAAAAGCAGCAGGGAGAAGGTGGGAACTGAGGCCGAGGGAACAGCACAGCCCCAGGGCTGGGTGATGGGCCTAGACCGTACAGCCTGTTCCCAGCCCCAGCCCCACAGCCAGACCCCTCTGCTCTCCCCCAGGCTGTGGCATTTTCTCCTCCAACTTCCTTCACCCAGCCCTCAAGCCCAGCTAAACGGGACTGGGACAGCACAAGAGCAGAGCTGCTGCAGCCCCCGGCAGGACAGCCAGGCTTCCCCCTCCCCTCCCCATTGCATCCTCCACTCACCCAAGGAGCCTTTGGGACACAGCACTGCAGCCGAGAAGCCAAACTTGGTCTGGGGCCACCACACACCTGCCTTCAGGCTTTTGGGGCAGCCGTCGTAGAGCACTGTGGAGACATGCACCCCAAGGGGCCAGTCACAGGTGAAGGCCACTGATGCCAGGCCCCACAGCACGAGCTCCCCGCCGTGCCCACACTCACCCTCGCAGCCGCTGGGTGTCACCTCGGCAAAAGGGCTGTCACAGCTATTGCACTGGCGGCCGATGACCCCAGGCCGGCAGTGGCACCGGCCCGTCTCCTTGTCGCAGGAGCGTGAGGTGGAGCCCACGGGGTAGCAGTCGCAAGGCAGGCAGGGGTCGCTGCCTTTGGGGTGGTAGTGGAAGTCCTGGGGGGAGACAGGGATGGCCATCAGACAGCTCATCGGGACAGCAGCCAAGGCCAGCACCTGGGGAACTGCTGGAGCCGAGGCAGAGAAGAGCCAGGCTCTCCTGATTTGCAAGCACCCCCACTGCCCCCATCATCACTGTGCTGGGGCAGGAGGGCCGCACAGAAGGGCTGAGCAGGGATCCAGCCCAGAGGTAGGCACACAAAGCAGGGCCTGGGCAGCTGCCAGGCCTTTGGAGTGGACAAGGAACAGCATCAAGGACAAGCAGGGATCCAGGCAAGCCATGGGCCATGTCCCCATGGGCAGCTGCCCCTCACCTTGCAGTGGCACTGCCCGTTGGTTTTGTTGCAGTCAGGGTCAAAGCCCTTGTTCACATCACAGTTGCAGGGCCCGCAGGTGGGGTTCCCCCACCAGCCCTTCGGACACTGCTGGTCCATCCTAGGGAGAGAAATACATCCGCTGTTATACAACCAACTGGGCCTTCTCCTCCCACCAGCCCAGCTGCTCAGCAGCACCAAGGAGCTGGGTGGCACTGAGAGGTCCCTGGCCACGTAGCCAGGATGAGAGGGCAGCACAGAGCCAGGCACGGAGGCCGTGGCCCTGCCCTGCACTCCACATCTCACCTGTGCTCGCAGTACTGCCCAAAAAAGTTCCCTCCGCACTCGCACACGTAGCCCAGGGGTGAGCCTGGCTTGCGGCGACACACCGACTTGTTCTTGCAGGGGTTGAGGTGACAGACATCCACGCAGTCCCCTCCATAGTACCCTGAGGTGTGGACAGAGAGCACTGTGTAAAGCAAGCACCTTCCCCCTGAGATGGGCCAGAGCACCAAGGATTCAGGGGGCTCAGGAGGGATTTTGTTCCCCACTGTCCTGGTTTCGGCTGGGATAGAGTTAATTTT